TTACAGTAACTAACTCATACGGATTAGCAGTAAGGAAATGGATCATTTAATTCCTTTAATATTACCAGTACAATGCTAAAATCATCAGTTAGTAATCTGTTGTTAGAAATCAATGAGAAGATCAAAATAATTTCATACGTGTACTACAGTAAAGTACTGTTATGCTCTACAAAGGAAATGATGATGAACCGCTACAGAGCAAAGACTGGAGTTAAATGTGTACATGAAGACCTGTAGGCCAAACAGAGAAGTGGGTGAAAAAACAGAGTGGATGTGAATCAGCAGGGTTGGTAACATCTTAAGATGATGTGTGAGGAGGATCTGTGCATTGTGTTGATGCATTTCTGAGTGAGTGTGGATCAGTGTCCATTAACTTACAACATTCTGCCAGACTGAGTGTGGCTTGAGGCACCCATCAAATTAATCCAAAGAGCTAAGAGCCATTGAGCTTGATTGCATTATTGCAATAAATCAACAGTGACTAATGTGTTTGACTGTCTGATAGACTGCTGAACATCAGGGGTGTAAAGTACTCAAATAATTGCACTTAATTACTATATTTATGTATTATTTTGGGAAAACTGTATTCTTACCTAATTACATTTCCAAAGAGGAAAAAGGAACTAAATGCATTAAACCTTGACAATACATTTGTTGCATGTATAAACACTATCATTCAAAAGTTTGGGTGTGATTTTTTGTTGTTGTTGAAAGAAAGTAATGCTTTCATTCAGAAAGGATAGATTAAACTGATCAAAACCTACAGTAAAGACTTTCACGCTGTCACTAAATAATTATTTCAATTAAATGCAGGATTTTATTTTTATTTACGGTTTCCACAGAAATATTAGCCAGCACTTTTCAACAAACAAAACTCTTTTCTACACTGATAATAATAAGAAATGTTTCTTAAGCACTGAATCAGCATATTAAAGGGATAGTTCACCCAAAAATTAAAATTTGATGTTTATCTGCTTACCCCCAGGGCATCCAAGATGTAGGTGACTTTGTTTCTTCAGTAGAACACATTTGATGATTTTTAACTCCAAGCGTTGCAGTCTATCAGTCGTATAATGCATGGCAATGGTAACAAAATCTATGATAGTAAAAAAAACATGCACAGACAAATCCAAACTAAACCCTGCGGCTCGTGACGGATGACCGGATGCCGTGCGCGTGCCCAAAGGCAGTTGGACATAGTGGTGTATTAAAGGTAAAAAATGATATAAATACTGTTCGGTTTCTGGCACAAACCGATCGTTTCGTGTCTTAGGACATCAATGTGTCGTCACGAGCCGCAGGGTTTAATTTGGATTTGTCTGTGCATGTTTGTTTTACTCTCATAGATTTTGTTACCATTGCCATGCATTATACGGCTGATAGACTGCAACGGTGGAGTTCAAAATCTCCGTTTGTGTTCTACTGAAGAAACAAAGTCACCTACATCTTGGATGACTTGGGGGTAAGCAGATAAACATAAAATTTTCATTTTTGGGTGAACTATCCCTTTAAAAAGATTTCTGAAGGATCATGTGACACTGAAAACTGGAAATGTAATGGCTGCTGAAAATTCAGCATGGACACTTTGACCTAGGGCTGCTTGATTATTGCAAAAATCATAATCACGATTATATTGGTCAATATTGTAATCACGATTATTTAACACGATTATGAGTGGGCCAAATGACCAAAACTTTATAGGAGTGATTTATTTAAAGATAGCAATATATATATTATATCAAATATATATTTTCTGTAAATAAGGTTGCTATTACATCTATATTTTAGATACCAGCGACATTTCACAATTCTAAATACCACAGCTGTATACTAGGGTAACTCATACAAGTAAAAAAAGAAAAGTCCTCAATTATTTGAAAGATAATTAAACAGTCACAATATAATACAATAAAAAAAGCAGAGGACAAATATAATAAAAAAGGTAAAAAAATGAAACACACAGTGCTTAAATTTTTTTATGCAAGTCTAAAGTATTGCTGACAACCTATTACAGATATCGAATAATCGAATATAAAATAAAACAGCATAGTCTTCACTGTAAGAATTAAACTTCCTTTGTTTCTTATTAAAGCTACAAAAGTTATTCAGTCAAATTATTTTTGATGAGTGATTTTCTGTGATTGTCTTTTGTTGTTTGATTAATATTAAGCACACAGTCGGCAGCAGGAATATTAGCCAGTCATTCTCAACTGATTAAACATAACATAACCGACGAAGGTTTACGTGAATAATCACCAAGCACCGCATTTTGACACAGTTTTGCATGTATTTGACCGTTTAGGTGCGCACCTTAAGCTAAAAGTTGACTTTACACGTCTGTGTTCTGTTCCGTGTCGGAGCGCATCCTCAGAAATCTTTGACCTAAAGCAATCAAGTAACTATTTTTGATCATTGTTGAACTTCATTTGAGTCCATTTACAAGTGCTGCTAATTTTAAAAGTTTAGCAATTTAACAAAAGGTTCAATACAATACACATGTATTGCTCTTTTTTACAAAATACATGGTTTCAAAGCACTTCCATAGAAAAAAAGAAGTAAAATAATACAAATATAAATAACAGAAAACAAGCAGTAAGTCTTTAGGCATTACAAAGACAGAACACTAAGAAAACTGAATTAAATGAGTTCTTTCTTATTGGATTCTTTATTCTATTCTATTAATACTAAATTAAAAGTCATAGTACCCATAACTGAACGCATACACAATTTCTCTGTACATTTTACACCCCTGCTGAACATTATTTTTTACAAGGTGTATAAAAAGCCCCTGAATGTATTGCAAACCCAGTTTACTTCAGAAACCCACAAAGGCCATGCATCAATATTTTTGTGTTGAGATCTTAGGAAAAAATGCAGATTAAAATAACACATGGTCTCTTATAGGCTTCCATAGTTTCCAGCACTAAAGACCATTTGGTCCTGCACAGATGCTCTATTATATGCAGTCGCCACCTTATTAAGGAACACAATGGCACTACTGATATTTTAGTATCCAGGCTTGTTCATGGGGAGGGAGGAAAAATGGAAAGGAAAAATTACCAACGTCATTGACCTGCAGCAGTGGTCAAAAAATCCCACAGATCCTACGTCTGCAAAATATGCAACAACATAAAACAGCACACAGAGCCTTCAACAGCATATCACACGCTTTTAGTACACGCTCATGGCGGTGCTCAAGGACTCGGAAGGATAGGGAGGAAATGCAGTCATGCTTTTATTAGGTGCAAAGGAAACCGACAGGCACGACTCACATTCAGCACTGACCTACCAGAACACATCGGGGGGTGTGAAAGACATTTTGCGTCACACGAATATCATTCACAGGAGAACAATATGAGAAGAGCAATCACAATGGTTGATTTTAGGTGTGATGGGAGATGTGAGGTTGAACTTCACAGCTGCATTGTTCACAGGATGCCGAACATTGATCACGCAGAGTGACGAAGCATCCTTTTAATGTGTGGATTGGTGCTGGGTTAAAATTAATTCTAGGGCTGTCAACTGACTTTTTAATCAAATGAATTACATGGTTTGCAAAAAATTGATAAATTGCAAATTTGCTGAGAAAAGCCCCCAAAAGAAGATAACTAAAAGATTTTACAGATCAAAGTATTGATTAGACTTTAGAAAAATTGCCTTTAGACATCAATATATTCCACAGCGCTCCCTTTTGCAGTCGAGTTTGTCATTCTCTTCAAGGTAGTTTTGTCCATCCACAGTGTTTTTCTATGTAAACAGGCACTAGATTTGCATCAGTGACGGTTGCAATGTCAAGACGAAAGTAGTTCATCTTTATATGATTGATTGCAATAAAATTACATGTTAAATTGCCAGCCCTAATGAATGCATAAACTTATGAACTATTTTTCTTATGTGAGCTTGCCAAAGCAGAGGATGACGATACTTTCTATTTTCTAGAAATGTGTATTTACGTTTGTAAGTGTTTTGTTTAGAAATGATCACTCTGCATAAAACGCACACATGCATACTGTATGCAAGGGCTCAACTGTGAGCATATAGTACAGTGTCAACTTTACATAAGGCAATAAGCAGAACCTTTGAATCTACAACATCTACTTGTCTTGTGTGTTTGCACATGGATCAAAACAGATAAAAGACCGAGGTGCATTTGCTGTTACACACAAACACAACCAAAAGGTGCAAAAAACTCCAAGAAATACCAGCCATTCTTCATAAATACTCATAGCAAATACTCTAAATATATAATATGATGCATTTTATGGTCTATGGAGAATTTTTTTTAATAAGGCACAAGTAGGGCTGGGCGATATAACCAATATTCACAATATATTTGCAATGATTTTTCCTGTGATGTAAAATCAAGCAACACTGTGAGTATCTTGAATACCATATTGATTTTAACGCAAAGTTTCCTAAAAATGTTTAATAGCATCTTAAGTACTAAAAATGATATTGGACATGGTAAGTTTGATTCATTTCCACAAATCAGTTCAAACTGTCTGTGTGAGACTTTTATATATTAAAATATTATATATATTATATATATATATATATATATATATAGATAGATAGATAAATCAAATTAAAATCAAATAAAAAGAATATTCATAAAAATATAATATATTTTGTTACATATTTACCAGAAAAATACAAACAATAAATAAATTAATAAATAACTGTGGGCCTAATTAACACTCAGAGAGGCACTGAAATGAAATTTTTAAATAGTTTTTGTGCAATTTTTGTATAAACCATTTATTTATTTTGTTTTATCACCCAGCCCAAGTCACAAGAGAGGGTGGAAAAAATGTGGAGAATAGAAAGTCTGAATGAATTTTACTTAAAATTCATTGCAAACAGACTTCTAACAATAATGGTCCTGAAAGCGGGATGAACTCCACACATTTTTGTTTGCAATGAGAGTGGAGGCCTTGAGTAGGTGTACTGTGTGCAGTAATAAAACAGAGAAAAGACAAGAAGCACCTAGAAAATACACTGATGGTCAATTGGTCTTAGTCTAGGCAGAACTGATCACAATCACTTGATCAAAATACAACTACAGCCAAAACTTCTTAAAATGTGATTACTGCAAGTGTCTCAAACACCTTTATCAACAATCTTCAATATCATAATCTGTTCTGGCTAATTCAAATAGAAAAATGTGAGTACAGTTAGGAGGAGTAGTCAAAAACACCTTCTAAATAGAAAATGAAATAAAAACAAGTGGAAGATGCTTACCTTGATAAGAGAGGTACACACGATTGCACCAGCATTCACCATTGGATTATGGGGTTTATCTGTGGGAAAATATAACTTCTTGTGTTCTTTGTTTTGATTTTTAGGTTGCATAATTAAAAGGACACATTATGATAAAATTTAAGGCAAATGCTGAAACCGTTTTCTGATTGTAGAAGAGAGCAGTCATGCTGAAGCTGATGGTTATAATCCTTACCGTCCTCATTCAGGAAGAGCTTGTTGAAGCGTAAGCCACTGGGCTCTTTCCCAATGAATTGGTGCACATATTCAGTGCCGTGGTCATGCACTGCAATAGCGTACTTGAGTGGCTTCACGCACGACTGCAGGCAAAATGGCACTTTAGTGTCACCCACTGTGTGTCTGTGCAAAGAGTAAACAGAGATCAGAACCAGAGACATCATCCTATGGTCCATATAAGCAAACAAACATAAGAATGATTTTAAAGCTGAACCTAACAGCCACACTGTGACTCTAACATGATATGAAGATGTTTAAAAATAATGAAAAAAAAAGACATGGGCCTGATTGACACAAACTCCAAGGCATTGAAATTTATGATATATTTTCTTGCTTTCTCCAATTGCTCTGACCTTTCTAAACAGCTCTTTTCACACTCTATATAAAGTCTCATTAGGAAAAATGTTCACTAATTATGTACGATTAAAGCTACTGTTGTGTGAATTACATAAATTTGTACATATTTTTTTCTGCAACATTCAAAAATGTCTAATTTATATAAAAATGAACATAAATACAATATATTTCTAAGTTTTTTTTTTTAGAATGTTTATCTCTAAATATTATAAATAAATAATTAATTATTTGCAATAAATAATAGTTAGCAGTTGGGTCAATGGGCAGTGCTTTTTTAGTTGTTGTGAGATTTAAATTATGATTTTGCTTTAACAATACATTTCAAAGTATGAGCTGTTGTATGCAGTTTTCTACTTTTCAAATTTAGTAAATAAATAGATAAATGAAATAGAAAATAAAATAAGTAAACAGATAAAAGGATTCTTTAATAACTTTAAACAACTGTTGCATATTTGCTAAAATGTAACTCTCAGAGTTAATTAAGTTAATCAGGCATTTTGTGTAAAGGCATGAATAGAACAAAGTAAAATGACAGATTTTATTCCATCAATTTTTGTCAATAGGTCAAGGCTCTGGCACAGTGTTGTTGACCAAAAGAGCTAGTTACTGTGTAACTGGTGAATGAACAGTAATCAACACAGAAGTATGTAGGCACCCATGTATCTTTACAACATATCCTATATAGCACGGGGTAAAAATATGCAGATTATATCTTAGTATGTCCTAATTATCAGAGATCAAAGGATGTACCATGACACATGGGTCTAAGTGTTGAGGGAATATTAATGACTGTGAGTTTATAGTCCTGTTATCAATAATTCTCAAATGAGAGGATTCACATTTGCACATTTTATCTGCGCTGGGTGTCGAATCCAGGAGATACGTGGAGCGTTTTCTGAATGATAAGATTAGCTGCCACTTTATCTGATGGTTTTATAACCAAAATATATTAAGCATTTCCGGTACTTGTCATAATGTACATAGTAATGTACATTCAATTCAAGTGGTCTGGTTAATAAGTACCCAAAGTGATAATCAAAGGTTGTTGAAATATGAAAAATGTAACACTCTGACACCAAGCTAAAGCTTTTTAAGCAACAAATGCAGTGAAACTAGTCATAGATGGTTAAAAAAAGTTCCTCTCAATAGATGAAGCTAAACTAAGCTAAATCTCAAGCTAAAATAAGTAGTTGTCAGTAGATGAAGGTGTATGATTCATACCTTTGTCCATCTACTGTGCAAAGGGAAACGGCCCACAGATCTGGGCTGAATTTGGCAAGTTGGGGAATGTAGTCAGCAACCTGTGAGCAAAAGAAAAAAGTGATCAGAAACAAAGGCTGTGTCAAGTTGAAAAGAATCACTAAGAGTTATTATTTGTGTTACTGTGAGTATCTTGAATACCATATTGATTTTAACGCAAAGTTTCCTAAAAATGTTTAATAGCATCTTAAGTACTAAAAATGATATTGGACATGGTAAGTTTGATTCATTTCCACAAATCAGTTCAAACTGTCTGTGTGAGACTTTTATATATTAAAATATTATATATATTATATATATATATATATATATATATAGATAGATAGATAAATCAAATTAAAATCAAATAAAAAGAATATTCATAAAAATATAATATATTTTGTTACATATTTACCAGAAAAATACAAACAATAAATAAATTAATAAATAACTGTGGGCCTAATTAACACTCAGAGAGGCACTGAAATGAAATTTTTAAATAGTTTTTGTGCAATTTTTGTATAAACCACCGGAGAGCTTTCTGGCCTTTTCATAAAGTGTATCGATGTGGGAAGCAAAAGGCTGGAAATCAGGGATGACAAATTTTTTCCGGAAGGCCTGTGTTAGGAGAACAATGTTGCTCTGGACACACCTGGAGAAACAAAGAGGACAGAGCTGAAGAAATAAAACCTACCAGTGGGTTGCTCATCGTTTCTGGTAGAAAGTATGAGTTTGTGTCTATTTGTGTATAAATTTTTTACTGAGTATTTATATGACAAATATCAGAGGTAAAAGTTACTTAAATGAGACATAACTTCCCTATTAGCTTGACTATATGAATTATAAAAATTACATAAATTGGCTCAATCCTGTTGATTGGTTGTAAATAGTTTTTGAAAAGTGGGCATTGTAGGGTGAAAAGTGTTTAAAATGCAACACTTGTATTTTGTATTTATTGCAGCCCTCAAGAATCAATTCAACACGCATAAATACAGAAACACACACATTTAATTCTCTTGAAACAATCATTTACACTCCTTCCTCAAGAACCTAAATGTTTATTTCCACATTGATTAAAAGGTAAAAGAGCAACAGGCTGGATCTGTTCAAATGAACATTTCCCACAGAAAAGTGAAAGATTTTTTTTTGTAAAACATCAAAACATCTATGGTGTGAGAGAGGAAGCCATGGCTGGTTTCACAGAGCCAGGTTATTCACTTCCACTAAAGCAGAGGGAAGCAAAGCATCCACAGGCATCATAAACACAGGCCTCTCCAGTGATTGTGTCTGAAATATTGGTCCAGTTGCTTCACCAAGGTCCCTGAATTGACAGACACGCTCAAAATAACTGTGCACAGTGCTGCTGTTTACAGATTTATGTGGATATGAATTTTCAAAAGGTAATATATTACTTGCTATCTGAAGGGCAGGGAAGCTAAAGAGGAGCCCATATGTTTGGAATAGCATACTACTATTTCTGCAGTTGTGTATACTATGTATATGTGCTGCATGCAAAAAAAAAATGTATGCATAGAATACCTGAATGACTTTTGCAAAAATGTGCACTGCACAGCAGAGCACACTGCAGTAGGCACTATATCACACAATGCAATCAACCTGACTTGACCTTTTTCCATATCCAAAGCAAAAATAAAAGAGCACATATTTTGAATATATTTTTCTCAATTCATTATTTGATTGAACAGACATTTTAGATTTCAAAATGTGAAATCATCTATTTTGATTGAACACCACACACTAAATTAAACAAGTAGTGGAAATTGAGTTTACATCTCACAATTCTTACTCTTTTCCTCCGATTTCTGAGTTTTCATCTTCCAATTGTTTTTTTTTTTGGCCACAAAATAAAAAAATAAAAAGGTAATTTTGACTTTCTCACAATTCTGAGTTTTCTTCTTGCAATTGCGAGTATATATCTCACAATTCAGCCTTAAAAAAAAGTCAGAATTTTGACATAAAAAGTCACAATTACCTTATTTACGTTTTGTATCCCATGGCAGAAAGTTGGAAACAAGCTTCCATTAATTAGTCTTAATCTCGTGAGTGAACATCATTTTCATCATGTGTCGAAAGTGCTGTTTAATTGTTTAATTATTTGTTTAAAATGGTTAAATGAGGGAGAAATGCAACTTTAAGTAGAACACTAATATTCAGTTCCAAACATCTCATTATGGCCCTGTCATGCAAGGTCACTCATTGCCATAATCTATCAAGCCTCTACAAGCTGACACTACTGCACTCATCTCTTCAGTCTGTAATGAAGCTGTCAGTGCCAGCCGGATTGACCGGGCAGTAAACACAGCACCAACAGCAGAGAAGCTGAAAAACAGATATTTATTAGGCTGGTTTACGCCAGAGGCAGGTATTATGGATGACGTCTAAGGAGTGACACACAGCTAGAGGGAGCAGACTGTCAGGGTTTGCTAATAAATAAGAAGCAGAGTGCAGTCCACCAATCAACTTCTTTACAATGTATAATATAAACAATCATATATGTGTAGTATCTAAATGTGTATGAGAAAGTGCACATTTATTCTCTCTTCTCAACTGCAGGGAATTATTTTAGCTGACAGACTAAGAATTTCTCACCTTGATTTACCATGGTAATTGCCTTTGGGCTAATTATGGGTATAGGAATAATAGTTGCAGCTCTGCAGTACACATGTAAATATACATGATATGTATATTTTATGGATGCATGGAATATCTAGATGACCATCCACATTTGCAGATGTGCAGTATACAACTGTAAACACTGCACATAATGCTGTATTTCAATGCAACGAGCTTGAATTAATTTGACTTCTTTGACTTCTAAACCTTCTTAATCCATCTGATGATCAACCAGGTTTACAAGAAAAAAAAACTGGTTTACCAACATTTTTTGCTTTTATTTCAATTTTTTCCAAACGTCACCAGCTAGAATCAGTTCAGTTTAAGAGTTTGTGGTCAGTAAGATTTTCAATTTTATTCAGAAGGATGCATTAATTAGACAGTAAAGACATTTATCAGGTAAAAAAATATATATTATTTTATATAAATGCTGTACTTTTCTATTCAGCAAAGAATCCTGAAAAATGTATCATGGTTTCCACTAATATATTAAGCAGCACAACTGTTTTCAACATTTAATAATAAGAAATGTTTCTTGAGCACCAATCAGCATATTAAAATGACTTCTGAAGGATCATGTGACACTGAAGACTAGATTAATGGCTGCTGAAAATTCAGCTTTGCATCACATAAATAAATTACACTCTAAAATGTATTCAAATAGACTGCAGTTGTTTTAAATTGCAACAATTTTTATACAATTCTTTTTACTGTATGATCAAACAAATGCAACCTTGGTAAGCATAAGAGACTTCTTTCAAATACGTTTTACCCCAAATTTTTGAACTGTAGCGTACACACATCTTGTTGCTCCATGCCATTTTAAAAAATGTACTAATCATTCTAGGCCTGGAAAACAACACCGCCTTCATATTTTCCGTTTTTTCATGACTGAAGAAACCATGAATATGCTACAGCACATTAAAAACAGTGTCAGCTTACTTTTTGAACAGGTGCCGGTCCAGCATTACGCCATCTGACGTGGATTTGAGGGTGACTTTCAACATGTCCATACATTCTTTCAGCCGTGGATCTCCTGTTCGAAGTCCAGTGGCCTTCAGTGCCTGAATGCATACATAAACAAGAGATTTCCATGAGCACAAATAAGAGTTAACAGCTAACTGTCAATGGCCTTACTCATTACTATCATCAATCACAACACTCTTATCAGGGGATTTTACTTCCTTTGTCGGTGAGGTTTGATAAGATAGTCTTAGTGTAATAAAACATGGCTCTGTGCCCCATTTAGTGGTGCCGATAACAGCAACAACACAGCAGTAATTGCACAAGCTGACCCTTCGGTCATACTATCGCAAAGAACAGAATGACCTACTATTACACAAAACATGCTACAGCCAATAATATCTGTTCCTGCAAATATAAACATATGTAAGGGGAGTGCTGTCACTCACGGTAATGAATTTGTGAGCTGGGATCCTCTCCTGGCCTTCGGCAATACTGTAAAACAGCAGGTCTTCCAAGCTGGGCAGGATGCCAGCCTTCCTTCTCCTAAAAAAAGAGAGAAAAGGGCATTGACATTGAGTGATCTGACCTTAATCAATGACTTCTACCATGATAGAAACTGCCACAATCTACAAGACATATTAGATCAGCCTGGAGTGCATTTTAATGTTATGTGTTCAAATACACAATGAACTGTTAAAGGAATTTAGTTAGTTGGGGTTAAATTCAGAGAAAGATGGCCATGCAACAAAGATTAACAGAAAAAAGATTCGTTCAGTGAAGAGTTAAAGAGCCCATTACCTGATTTATTTTTTGTGCTGACTATTTTATTTTAAACAGAAACTTGGGACATATATAGCATATACAGTGGGTACGGAAAGTATTCAGACCCCCTTAAATTTTTCACTCTTTGTTATATTGCAGCCATTTGCTAAAATATATGGGGTGCTGTGTGTACATTAATGAGGAAAAAAAATTAACTTAAATGATTTTAGCAAATGGCTGCAATATAACAAAGAGTGAAAAATTTAAGGGGGTCTGAATACTTTCCGCACCCACTGTATATAAAATTACATGTATACGTTTAATATATTTTTCTAACAATTTAGAATAAAATAGAATATAATTTAATTATAATATTGATAAAAAATATTATTATTATTAATTGTATTGACGGTTCTAAAAAAAATGTAAATAAATTCATAAACTAATAAAATAATAATACTAAATAATAATAATATATTGGTAGGAAACAGTTATAGCCTAGTTCAGTAGAGAAAGACTGTAAATTTAATTTAAAAAACAATTATCACAAATATGCAACAGGTAAATATTTATTTGGGATTTAAATTGTTACATAGGGGGAAAAATAAAATAGCTATTTATGGTTTTCATTATAATCACAACACATATTTTAACTGTGCTTACATCATGTTACTGGTCTTCAGCAATGCGCAAACGCATTAGCATTGCACAATACACAAGTGTAGACACACTCTTGCCAAGTTTTATTAAGAGCCGACCTAACTTAGCCATTGCATTATCACATTTAGATGGCTTTGAGTCTAATGGAGCTTTGCGTAAGCTGCTGCGGCACTGAGCCACAACAGAGTCTGGCCAGGACTGTAATTCCCAGCGGCCTACCAAAACATCCTCTCACACAGCACCAACGGCACCACCTTCCCACCACGAAGTTCACGAACATTCCCAGAACTGAGACTTTCCTTTACCAAACGTTATTTACATTTGCTGTATTCATTTTCCTAGAGATTATTTGATTATGTTTCATTTGAATGTTTTTTTATTTAAATACACAACAAAGGCTGACATGGGAATGACAATGAAAATGTGATTTTGATCTTTTGGGTTAATTTGTGAGGATTATAAAACATAGGAAGAGAATTTGTTGAGAAAGGATTGATAGAGGTGAAAGACTGGAAGTGACAATTCAAATCATACTTACACACAAACAAACAGCAGGCAGAGCAATGAGGGAGAGAAAAACATGCAGAATGAATGAGAAACATACAATAAACAGATCAATCAAAACAATTATGATAAACTTAAAACTGATCAAATATAATCAAGAATCTTTATTGATGTATAATGAATTTAAAATTCAGTTGCTTATGTGTTTTGTTTTGTTTTTTGAATAAAAGATCATGTGAATTTACACTACCATTCAGTTTTAGGTCAGTAAGATTTTTATTTTTAAAGAAATGAATACTTTTATTCAGCAAGGACAAATTAATGAATCAAAAGTGACAGTAAAGATATTTATAATGTAATATTTTACTATTTATAGTAAAATAAAAAGTTATTTTAAATTGTAACAATATTTCACAATATTACTGTTTTTACTATATATTTGAAAAACATTATAAAATCGTACCAAGCCCATAATTTTGAACAGTAGTGCATTTCTGATTGTGGCCTTATAATTGAGCATTATAAGGAATGTTCCAGGTTAAAAAAAATGCTGTTGATAAATTTGGCATAATGCTGATTATGACAGACTCACCTCGGCCCTTCGTTTATTGGGCCAGGAATGAATTAATAAATATATATTAATAAATATATTAAAAACTGATGCAGTAAACTACTTACTAAGAATTATTCAGTAAAAACAGTTAATTATTTTAACAAAAAATGTATAAATCATTCTTTCTGAGGTGGGTCTACTTTTTAAAGTGTTTGAACCTCTGGTTATGCGTTAATAATGTTGTGGCTGAATTCCTGTGGCTAAAGTTTCCTCCATGTTGACAGCGCCTTACAGCTACTTATGACTATATATGATATTTTTTAGTGCATCATGCCAAAACACAGGGTTAACCTGCTAGTCCGAAGATGTGCCCGAGCATGCAAAATGATGGATGAGCTGACACCATGTTCTGTGCTAATCGACATTTTGCCACAAAATGCATCCAAAATAAAAGAACAATAAGTGCATGAAAAAGAGAAATAGACTAAAAACAAGTTACACAACAGAACATCTAATAATGCAACCCACAAACAGCTCAAAAAGTCATGCAAAATCCACAGTTGTCTGTTTTTCCAATTAAACTATACTATGCAGATACAGAGCTGATCAAAAATTACTTTCATTTCATTTGAAATGAGGTCACTTGAACTAAATAGTCAACAACCTGCGATATGTGATAGAAAATCAATTGTGCGCTCATCAGGATTGTGGTATCAGCTTGCAGCAGAAACAGCAGGTCTGTAGTTCTCTCTAACGAAAGCGAAAGATCCATGAAAAAGGAAATGGGTGAATCATCGGCACTGGACCTTTGAGATCTAATTAGCAGCAAAGTTCTTTGGTGTTATAAAACAGCACGTCTGTCTGACTTCGGCCCATTCTCCTCTCCTTTCATCACTCGTCTCTCCGTCTCTGCAATATATATGTGTGATCCTCTACATGGGATTCCAGGGATTCTCAGAGAGCCTCATCACCCTCCTGCAGACTTAATAAAACAAACATTGTGCGCCTATTCACACACCACTGACGGCTCAGAGAAGACAGACCCAGCACGAAACCAAAAACCACAGGCTGTGCAGACACTGTGACCTGACAGCAGGGATTGTGGGTTTATTTTAAGGCAGCACAATTATTCAAACAAATAATAAATATTATGATTACAGCTGTGATTGTTGCGAAAAGCAACATTTTTAATAAATTAAAATCAAAATAAAATTTGATAAATAATTACAAAATTAAGATTTTCAAATACAATTCTGAAGATTTTAAAATCCTGAACTGCCAGATAAAGATGTGGCCAGTACCAATAAATCATCAACTTACATTTTTTTTAACAACAAACAACTACCGAAAGTTAAATTGATTGTTTCAAGGGAAGCATGATCAAACAACGCATATGTAGGATGATCAAACATAGATAATTTTGCCTTTGTTGACAATTCTGCATCTTCAGCCCATGTCATGTCTGTTAGGTGAGGTGTCTGATTTAAGGCTTGTTACCAGTTAATAAATGGTCAGCGATGGGTTAAAGGAACCTGCCAAAACTTGCATCCGTACCACCAAAGCCTACCGCATACTAGGGCTGGGCGATATGGGCAAAAATTAATATCTCTGAATTTTTTGGCCGATTTGCGATATACGGTATATATCTCTGTATTTTTGTTTTTGTATTTGTATTTTAAAAAATCTGTATTTAATATATATATGCATTTCACTTACCACCCAATGTTGTCCAACAAAACAATACAAGGCTATGAAAACAAATAAAGTGAATCTAACCATGTAAGCCTTTATATTATGTGCAAAAAAGGGTTAAAATCACATTTCTTTCTAACATTGTAACATTGCAATCTAAAAACAAAAATACGGCTTTTAAAGCGTAAGTTAAATTCACTAAACTAAAAATTCAAATAAATGAGAACAAAAGCACAGAGTTGTGTTAAAGGGGTCATATGATGCTGCTAAAAAGAACATTATTTTGTGTATTTGGTGTAATGAAATGT